CCCCTTCCCCTGGCGTATGTGTGTGTGCTGATGTGTAAATGTTTGCTCGCACACATACTCGGATGTTTGCCGTGCGGATGGCTGTGTGTGTTGGTATCCTGGCTCTTGGCAACACTTGGCCAATAAACAAGCGCCCAAGGTGGCATGGACGGCGTGGCATGAGGGGAAGGATTGGGCGGGGGTGCGGATGTGAATCTGAATGAGGATGAGATGTTGTTTTTCCTGCCCAGGAAGCGCCGGCAGTAAAAAGCGCAAGGAAATGCCCATGCGTCGGTCTATAATGACGATAATAAAAAATTAAAAATTCAATTTAAAAATATTTTAATAGCTCAATTTCTGTCTGAATAAAAAAGTGACTTACACTTTTTGTTAATTTTTTGTAAGGCAAAGAAAGGCTCAAGGAAAATGGTTGATTACAAAAGTGAAAGCCCAACTTTTACTAAACAAATCCGAGAGTGGGGAAATGTCCTTTTAAAAATGGGAAAAGCAACATCTTGAGTTTGGCTTCCGCATAAACGTCGAGAAGAGCAGCGCCGGCAGCCAGTCAAAGTTCATTCGAGTCGGGTGCTTTGATGAAAGGACGTGGGTAAGTGTGGTTTGTTGTCGCCGAGTCCTCATAACACACCCACACAGGCACACATGTTAATTACTGTTATCATTATGAATCGCATACAGGACTAATTAGTGTGTTACACTTTCATTTATTGTTCAGGGGGCAGGCGAGCGAGCGAGCGAGCAGCGATGACGATGCTGACAACAACTCTCTTGTATAACAACCATAACGCAAACACACACTTGCACCACAATATACCAACCACCCCCTGCCTTACACACACACTGACGCAATACAGCATACACACACACATACACATACCCATGTTAAGTGTTTAACATAATGAACACGCGTATTACGAGGGAATTAACATGACATTTAACAACGCAACCGAGACAAAACCCAACGAAAGCTACAACAATTTGTAGCTGTCTGTGATTAAAAGTGCGACATTCCGAACTTTTGCTGAGTAATCCCGAAACTGCCAGTCGAGATTTTCTTAAAAATGTTTGTATTTTTTTTAAAGCGAAAATCGTTTCCGTTTCCGCTTCCGTTTTTGGTGGCCCAACGGATTTTGCCCTTTTTTTGGCCAGCCCCGTCGCATTATCGTCCTTCGAGTCACTTCTATTGGATTTTATTGTTATGCTTATGTGGCACTTTTCATTCCAGCCCCTTCATTTTCCGCGCTTTTCCTCTCCGAGTCTCATCACATTGTCATTGCATTCCGCCATTCTGCACAAAGTTTCTGGCCGCGGCCAAAAGGAAAAGCGAAAGAAAATCACTGCAAACTGTTGGCCAACTAAGTTTAAGTAGCTGCAACATAGATTCTTAGGACTTCCGCAAGCCGAGGCCGTGACCATAGCCAATGGAAAAATTCAGGATGCGGTGCACAGTGGGGCAGAGTAAGACTCTTTAGCTCAGAATCATAACAAAGAGCTTAAGTTTATAAATTAACAAAAGATTAATTATTAAATTAAGTATGTTTATTTGCACCCACACAGAGACAATATAAAATGAAACTAAAAAAGACCAGCCCAAATAATGGAATCAAATCAATTTAATGAATTGTATTATATTCTGATTAGACTAAGCCATACCCACTTGGTTTTCAATTACAGGAACATTAGGTCTCTTGAAAGCCCAACGTTTCCCCTTTAGGTTTAGATTAATCATTTCAAATCCTCGAAGTTATGTTTAAGATTTAACTATAACAAGATAAACGAACAGTGATGTGTTTAATTAGCTTATTTGTACGCAGAAACAAGATAAAACTAATTTAATTTGGCAGTCCGAAATAATGAAATCCATTTAATTAAATTAATTGCATTATGTATTTTTCAATGATTTGCAAAGCAAATCAATAACAGCCTTAAACCGAAAAAAGTCAAACATCCAAATACCCATATGGTAATCCTGGCTGGGGCATTAAATAATTTATCACGAATTAAACAAATACGAAAGCATTTTTCATTAATTGCGCTGTTGGATCTGATTTGAGGGGAGAGGGAAGAGGGTAAAAAGAATTAAAGGGAATGGGAAATGGATAATAGGGAGAGGGGAGAGGGGAGAGGAGGTGGAACAGCTGGACAGACGCAATCAAAAATGCAAAACGCAAACATTGTTCGGCATTCGCAGTTAATAAATGGCGTCAAAAGGACATGTCCGCAAAGTTGCATGTGTGTGAGTTGCATTGTTTTTTGATTTTATTTCAGATTTAACGAATTTCCTTTCTTCTTTGTCCTCGACGTGGAAATATGCCAGCAATGTTGTTGTCGCTCCTCCCGCTCTTGCCACGCCCACATGACCCACACATACCCGCAACAACGCCCCCAAAGCTGCGCTAATGTTGTGTGTGGGTTTTTGTGTGTGTGAGTTTGTCTGTCCATTATGCAAATTAATTTTTGGTAACACCAACAAACACCTTCGCCAACACAGGCCGACACTCACAGAGGAAAAGCTGCGATAATAGTGTTAGGCTGGCAACAGCAATAACAACAATAACAACAATAACAACACCAGCATTAGCAACAACAACAACAACAACAGTGATAACTAAAGCAACAACAATGGTTGGCTTACCACAAGAATGACGACAAAGTGATGACCAAAAACGCAGTCAGCAACTTTGTGACTATTTCAACAACAAATTTTTCTCACCCCCATCTTTCGACACCCCGATCCCCTGACGATCAAGGTTCTGGTGCGAGGACTACAGTCCACTGCCATTCCCATTCCCATTCCATTTCCATGAACATTTCTATTCCTAGCCCAGCTGCATCTGACCAAAAAGCTGCGTTGTTTTGGGCTCCAAAACGGAAGGGGCTGGTAGATTTCGGGGCTTCATCAGGTGGCAGGGGTTGTATTTGGAATGAAGTTGGCCGAATAGGGATGGGTAATGAACCCTAATTCGGTTAGGGTATTTGCAAATGCATCCTTGGAGTCATTAATTTAGGAAATTCACATCACAAAAATTATTCACAAGCATTCACACTTATGAAATTTCTTCGAACTAATGGAATGGAATGATCAGATCAATGCCTTAAATGAAGAACTTTTTGGGAGGAAGAAAGTAATCTAAATTATAGTTATTAAAAAGATAACGCCTAAGTTTTTAAACCTATCCTGGTCAATGGCTTCTAGAAAGGCTTTTCGGCTGATCATTTGCAGGTGGCTTTCAGCCAGCCCTGGGAAGCTGATGTGGCCGCAAAACACTCGTTCATGAATAAACTTTGCATTCTTTGCAGGCATTCATGCGTGGCTATGTATGTGTTGGTGTCGCCCCAACACCCTTAACACCACCCCGCTAGTGTGTGTGTTTGTGTGGGTGTGTGTGCATGTGGTCGCCATCAAAATTGACAAAAATGCAAATTTATTTACAACTGCAGCCAGCGTCAGGGTCGAGTTGACGATGGCGATGGCGATGGCGATGCCACGTGAATGAATGCCAATGGCAGCTGAAGGGTTAACGGGCAAAATGTGGGGAAGGGGGATTGACGGCAGGGGGTATGGGCAAAAAACAACTCGACAAAATCAACATGCAACACACGGATACAGATACATCCGTGTACAGATACAGCCGCGCACCCGCTACACCCGCCACACCTCCCACAGCGACACACCGAGCACATTGCACTGACAGTTGGAGCTGTCAAATGTCGCAAGTGTATTTGAAAAACGCGGCTACAAAATGCGCAAAACATTTCGAATGGAAATACTTGCGTGGGCGCTCTTCGCATATTCTTGGTCGCGTCTGACTGTTTTTGGTGGGTCTTTCCAGGGGTTCTTTTTTCGGGAAGGGGGCTCAAACAAAAAGGTGACACAGGTGAGTGGTCCACTTCGGCCAAAGAAACAGAGTTAGACAAAACGGAGCGAAAAGTTCAAAAAGACCTGATTTCTTTCTTGTTTTGTTTTCCAGTTCTCACGCAGCTTTAATTTGTCGGATTGTGTTCTAGGATTCCGATGGGTTTTTTTGTTGGTGAAGTCATAAGTTTTGATTGCTAAGAATTAATAGAAATTAAAGTTCCAAGCTTAAGGATCCAATATGGGCAATCATGTACATATTTATACAAAGGTAGAATTGTTTGGCTCTCTTAGATTCGTCTTTAGTTCTTAGTATTCTTTATAAACTTATTAACTAATTTAACCGATTTCATTTGCTTTATTTACACTATATCTCCACATTGTTTTTAAGGTTTTATACAGACGGAATTTTTTACTGATCAATCCAAAGATGTTTCTTTTCATATTTCCCCTTACATATTTCCCCTTTCCTGATTTCCTGATATTGCGTTTTATTTTTGTAGCAGGTGGTCACACTAGCTTGTGTAACAAACAGTCACATTAACTGTCTATGCGCACTTAATTGTATTCCTCTCCCTCACTCTTGCATAAAGTTCATGCTAACGAACACTATGTATGTCCTGTTCGCACGATCATCAACAACACCAATAACATGTAAAAGCTACCGAATAAGAAAAATAAATAAAAAAACACTTTGTTTTGGACCACAGAACAGAATAGCGCGCATACATTTTTACATCATTTTTATTTGCATAATTCATAAAGAATTATCATTATTATAACTTATAAAAATGTTAAATTATTCTTTTAATATCGAGCAGGTTCTGATTTATTGGGAACTTTCATTTACTCTTGGTAAGTATGTATGCTTGGATAGTGCATGCAGAAGTTATAATATTTCGTACTAATATTTCGTAATAATAATAATAGTAAACTACCCAGAGTGTCCAGGCTTATCTTCAATGCTCCGGGGCAAAAATCTGGGAGTAGCAATGCCCGAGTCACTCGTTGTGTAAACTTTAAAATTGCTCCGATGAAATTGTCCAGGGACAATTATAGGAGATGGCTCTGGATAAGGACGAGTGCAGCTCCATTTTCCAGCAAAAGTTCCCTTTAGCTGTCAGTCGATTTCTCAGGTGACAACGGCATGTTGGCCAACTTGGATCGGAACGTTGGCATTGCCGCCGAGCTACTGAATTTGTACGGCCTGGTGATTCAGCTTTTAGTGAGAGGAGAGACTACTTTGGTGTACTACAATCCGTCAGGACTGAACTGCAATTGGAATGTCCTGTGGCACCGGAACCTGACAACCCATCCGCAGATCGTTTGGCAGCGCAGCTATGCCTATCCGGATCTATATGATCAGTTTAATGGTGAACTTATGGTTCTGGCCTGTTTGTCAGCGGGATCCAGTGGTACTGGGCAACTGAAGAACCTGGCCACTAGCTTAAACCATCTGCGAACGTTGCGTGTGCTCATCGAGGTGGCGGGCTTCAGTCGGGAATCCTTGGCCATCCAGGTACTCTCGTTTTGCCTGAGCCAAAGTATGTTGCACGTGGAGCTGTACTTCCGGAACTACAACCATTCCCTAATCCTCTACACCTACCGGGCTTTTCCCAAATTCGAATTGATTAAGAGAGCAATCTCAGGCAATGAGAGAGTAGCAATCTTTGTCAACAAGCTGCAAAATTTGGAGGGACATAGACTACGTGTCATGCCAGATCTTTCACCACCGAATACCTTTTGTTATCGCGATGCCATGGGAAAGGATGTGGTGGTTGGCTACCTGTGGGATTTCATGGCCGATTTTGCCAGCCGTATAAATGCTAGCCTGGAGGTAGTGCGTCCCAACTGGCCTGCTGGTGTGGCTTCCGAAAGCTCCTACATGTTGCAGTACACCTCAAAGGGCTTAATTGACGTCGGCCTGACGACCACCTTGATCACAAAACGGAATCTCTGGGCCATTCATCAGTACACCTATCCCATTTTTATTTCCAGTTGGTGCACCATGTTGCCTGTGGAGAGACCCCTACTAACCCCTGACCTTTTCGAAAGGATACTGAGTCCTGCCTTGGCGGCGGTTTTAGTACCCATCACCCTTGCCACCTGGTTGGTGGTTAAGCACCTCAGCTGGCTGTTCCCATTGAAAAACTCAAGACTAGCATGTATTGTGCGCCGATTGCTGGCCATGCTCCTGCTGACCACCTGCAGTGCCCAACTCCTGTCGCTTTTGATCTCGCCACCATATCACCAGCGAATCACCAGCTTTGATGATCTGCTCCACGAAGACCTCAAGATCTTGGGCATGCGCAGTGAGTTCTACTACTTCGATGGGGCTTTCCGGGCGCGATACGCAGGAATTTTCCACCTCATTGACGATCCCGACCAATTGTACGACCATCGCAACCACTTCAACACTTCTTGGGCCTACACCATGGCATACACCAAGTGGATGGTGATAAAAACCCAGCAACGACACTTTTCCAAGCCGGTTTTCCGCTGGTCCAAGGATCTCTGCTTCGTCGACTTTATGCCCACCAGCATAGTTGTGGCCCCCAATTCGATTTACTGGCAGTCTTTGAAGAACTTCTCATTCACTGCAAACCAAGCTGGCCTCATAAACCATTGGATCGAAAAGAGCTTTTACGATATGGTCAAGGCCGGAAAGATGCGCATCAAAGACTATAGCGAACTGGTGGTACTGAAGCCTCTTGAGATCGGGGATCTACAGCTGATCTGGCGCATCTGTGGAGCGGCCATCGCGGTGGCTATAGGAATTTTTCTGGTGGAGCTATTTTACTTCTACGCCAACGAATTTCTAAATAGTTTGTAGGAATTTATTTATATATATTTTTTAATAACTTAAAAATAAAAACCGTTGGATATTTTGTAATTAAGTTGAAAGTCATGCAATAACTTACGTATAACCAACATTTCTTTATAGTTTAAGACATAATTTATAAATACTTTCATGTCTATTTTTTTACTTAATGGTATTTAAATGTTTTTTATTTGTTAATCAATGAAACGATTTAAAGATTATGAGCACTTGAATAAGTTGTGACTGCATTTTGTCAAACAAATATTATTCATTGTGAATGTAAAAACTTTTGCCTTTTGAATCCTCGGAAATCTTTGGGTTAAGCACGGAAAACTAGTTAAAGTTCATGGGGGAAATTGGACGGAGCAAATAAAATATTGGACTGTGGAAAAAGAAAACTTGACGCCAAGGAGATAAAGTCAAATTAGCTCTGTTTGTTTTCCTTCAAACGCAACGAAAAGCGATTAAGTGAAAAGTTCTGTGCACTTTTCCCGCTTCGGCAAAGCGGCGGCCGGCGGAGGATGTTTTCTGGTCGATTTGATGGCAGCGGCAGCATTCAAATTGTGTTTGCACTCGTCTGGAACAGAGGGAAAACTTTCATTTCATTTTCCTTTTTTTACTGTACTGCTTCTAGTGCATGCCCAAGGTCGTCCAGGGGCAGCAGTGGCAGTGGGCTTAAAGCCCCCTTAAAGTCGCCCTTATATTGGGTTTGTTGCAGCCACAGACAGAAACAAACGCACACAACCACACACACACATATAGTAGCCAGATATATATTCATACATACATATATTACTCGACGATATTCAATGTCGTCCGCCGTCCAAGTCCTCGTCCTTGTCGTCCTTTTGCTTCTCCACGTTGCCGGAAGTGGCGATGATAACACGCCAAAAAGGAAGTGAACACTTTTTGGGCAATGGGGCGCGATGGAGTTACTATACACAACAACAAAGGCAGCTCACGGAGGCAACAACATCGGCTGGATGGGGAATGGCTTTATTTAATGGCAGCTCATGACCACTACTTCAAAATACCCTAACAACCCTATAAATTATATACATTCGTGATCGGCAACAACATCTGATCATAAATATCACTCTTAATCCTACTTAGAAAATAAAATATCTCAGAAATTATCTTATTGGCGGCTATTTCCCTTCAATGCTGTGAACATCCTTTGTTGCAGGGTATGCGATGCCTGTGACTTCTTTTCCTGCGCCACGGCTCGGCTATCTGTGCCTGTGACCTCTGCCAACCAAAACCACCCCCTCCAACTGCCTCCACTTCCCCTCTCCCCACTCTCCTGGCCATTCGTCTGCAGCCTTTGGGCGTAAATTTTATTGAGGTCGAATTGAAAATGTGGCCAAGTGGGTATGAAGCGTCAAAGGGGAATGGAAGGTGTAGGAACGGCGGCCTCCAAAAGGAGGCGGGGCAAGGCGGAGGCTGTCGTCTGAGAGCAACAGCGAGAGCCACAACAACAACAGCAGACGACAAATGTAACGAAAAATTAAAAGCATTTTATGCGCAAATGGCGCGCGGCATTTAAAACGAATGCGAAATATGGTAACACGCGATTTGGCGGCCCCAGCTGACAATCCTGAGCCCCAGACCCCTCCGTCCGCTATTTTCGGTGGGATTCTCCGACCAAACACGACCCCTCCCCGAGGCCATCACAGAGCGAATAATTTATGTGGCATTTAATGAAAACGGAATTGAAATTTAGTGCGAATTTATTAAATGATTTTAAATTGATGTTGGCCTCTGGACCGCATGGCAGTGCCCCCAGCCGAAAAACATTTAAATTATTGGCCGGGTGAGGATGAGTTTTGATGATGACAACGCTGGTGTCGAACTGAGAGGGTGGGAAGCCAAGGGGGCGGGCAGCGATTGTTGTTGCTTTTAGGGAGTAGAAACAGAGATAATTGCATTTGGAAAATTCAAATGGAAATCTCTTGCAAGCCTAGAAAAGTCTGCAAAAATTGTGTCTGTATTAAAATAATTTTAAACATATACGGGAAACATCAGGAGCTATTTTTGTAATAAATAGGAAAATAAATTGAGTTAATCATTCAAATTTTTGTATTATTTAAATTAAGGAGAAGTTAGGTAAACAATCAAGAAAACTTACTTGGCCTTTCTTAATTAAGAATTTGAACAAAAGATAATTTTTTTCTCTGTTTTCTACTCCCCAGCCAAGCACTTAATTCGAGAAGAGCCCAAATCAACTTGGGACTGTGTAATTTCGAACAGCTAATTAAACGTAATTCATCAGCCTGAATAACAATAAACGGTAATCGGAGGTGGCTTTAGGGGGCGGGGCACATCCGATTCGATGGTCAGAAGCTAACCAAGAACAAAATGCCAACTGGACGAAAAGTGAAAATTGCACATTAATTAAATTTAAAGCGAGGGGAGACCGCGCATCATTAGAGTCGCACAATTAATGCGAATATTGTTGCACATGCAACATGCTCTTCTGCCCCTCACGTGAGAGGCCGCAAAAGGTAAACTTTTTGGCCCAGTGGCCGAAGCTCCTGTTTGCGGCTCGTGTGTGCAATTAAATTGTATAATTTTACAAAATTAACAAACAAACAGAGTGAAAAATTGGAAAATCTCTCTCCAAACAAACGGTTAACATATGTATGTGCGGCGGTAATGTTGTCGGTGGCGGTGGCAGTGGCAGTGGCAGGTGCGGTGGCGGTGCGGTGTCCTGTGTGCGTCCTTCTTGCATTAATCACGCTCATTGCACCCGAATCGGAATAATTTCAGGTGTTATTAATTTAAAAAAAAATACCCTTAATTATTCACATAAATAATGTAAGCACTGGACAAACGAATAGCGAATAGCGGGACCGAAACGAGCGGAAAATACTGTTCATTATTCATATTTGTCATGCATTCCATCAAACTCGAATTGCAATGGTTCGGTGGACCTCAAAAACGGGATACATGACCCAACAGGATCGCTTTCAATCGGTAGCGATAGTTTTTTGTCGTTTTTAAGGTAATTGAAGACGCAAAATTGTACAAGTTTTTCTACAAGACTCAATTGTTTAATCGAAAAAATACATTAATACTGTGGCGAATATTTATAAGCGGCTATCAGAAATGTGTTTCAAATTTAAGAACGTTGGCGTCCTTTCCATTTTTGTATTTTTAAATATAATTGTTTATCGATTTCACTGACTTTATGCCGAGGACAAGAAGCCTGCCACAATTTATAGGCTGTAAAAAGGACATGAATAATAAAGTCCTACTGGAAACTGTTCACTTACGTTTCCAGGTCGAGTTGGCTGAATCATTAAACCCGTCTGCGGCCTGTTGACAGCACTTATGCCTCATCATCGCCATCATTCGCATCATAACCAACTCGATCGCATTGTGGCGGCATTTTTGGTGCTGTGCAAAATGGGGGAGTGGAAAGTGAAAATCGGCCAACAAGTTACCCAAGCCAGGAGGGCGAATATGAAAACCGCAACACCAACAATGACAACAATTGACCAACATACAACATACTCGCACAACCCACAAGCTACCAACTGGGGGTGTGAACAACCCCTCTTGGCCAGGATAACCTGCTCCTTCCTAGCATCGACCCACTGGACTTCCCTTTTAATTCTGAAAATACCGCCAAACGCTGCCGCAAAATGTGAGTTATTAAAATTGTGGACTATTTGTTTGCATTTTGCAATTCCGTTTGCCGTTTGCCGCTGTCGCTTGCCGCTTGCCTCGTGCTCCCTCGAAATGCCATTTTTTCTTGGTCCACTTCTTTTTATTGTTATTTGCATTTGCAGTCGCCTTTTGTGCATTTTTTCAGGTTGCATTGCAGGTCGCAGGGGGCGAATGAGCACAAGTCGTCCCAGTTCGTTATCTTTTTTTTGTTTCGGCATGCGGCGAGCCTAAATATGTTTTATGTCCTTGTTCGTATGCCAAGCTCTGCAGTGGAAATAAAGCCACGTGACTGCGCTCCAGATCACAGATCATCCATCTCAGTGATGCCTTAGAAAAAAGTTAGTTCTCAGAGAAACATATATATTTAAGAAACATTCCTCAGAGAAATCAAAAACGAACGAATATTTTAAACTTTTTTTATAACTTTCAAAGTGTCAGATATATTAATGTTAAGTTTTTGTGTTTTTAAATTAAGATAAAACAAAAATATGACATTTAATTATGTATATATTATGCATGTATAAAAAAAGGTATATTTTAGGTGTTGTTAATTACCAACATAAGGGAATACCTTTGAAGTTAAGTAAGTAACCAGTTTAGTAAGTTCTTTCTCCTGTGCAAACCAACAATAAGGGCCACTTCGATGATGATGATGAGAGCTCAATAAAGTGACAGAGCCAATGCCGTCACATTGCCACAGTGATTATTCCCATTCACGACCCGATGCACTGCAACAAAAATGGGCGCACCACAGTCAACAGCGTGAATGCAACAATTTTTATTTGCTCTCACTTGACCATGTCGTTCAAACGTTTTGGTTGACATCCCGTCAACGTGGCTGTCTGGATTTTGGTGTTTGGTGTTTGGTATTTGGTATTTGGCCCCTGGCTGACTTCTAATGGCGGCACACACACACACACACACACTTGTCTTTCTGGTTTTTCTGTATCTCTAAATGTATGTGTATGTGTGTCCGGGCATTCATTATTGCTCCCTCCATTTCCCATCTGGATCTGTAAATGTATATGTACGAGTATGTGTATCTGTATCTGGGCCCGCGTCTGTATCTATATCTTCCCGCTGATTCCTCCATCTCGGTTTTATTTCTGCTGCTGCATTGTGGCACTTATTAAAAATTTTCTGGTATTTCTTCTTGGTTCTTGGTACAGCAGGAACCTTGGGGCCTTTGTCCGTCCACCGAAACCACCCACAATGTAGGCGGCGGCAGGGCTAGAAGAGAGGAATCTTCTTTTGTTTATTTATCTTTTCGCTCGGTTTCGAATAACAAATCCTTTTGGCTTTACACATATTATGCGGTGGCAGCCCAACAGCCCAGCAAA